GGATAAATGGATACAAAACCAACTCACTAAAGCTTCATCTTAAAGATCTCTGGCATCTAACAAGACTAATCTCTTTAAATTTAAAGCCTACATAGAGAAAAAGAAAAAGGCCGACAAACTAAGAATAGAATGAGTAATAGCACACTTATCTCCCCAAACACTTAATTAGAATAAAATATACTTAAAAGAAAACACAGTGAAGACTATATAATCACAAAACATGATTGCACCTACCTAACCTTTTATATTTTGAGATTTCAGATCAGGTCAATGATTTCAAAACCAAACAAAACTAGAAGTCTCAGCCAAACACCTGATGGAAAAGTTTCTCATCTATTAAGTAGAGTTTGCTCCGTTCTCCTCAGTTGATCACTTTTTTTTTCCTCATGTCTTTTCTCAGAATCATGTTTTTTATGTGGCTCACACTCTTTACCTGGTTGCAGTGAAACTGGAATTGCATCTACTTCAAGGAAGCAATCATTCCTCAGCACCTGCTCAGGCATCAGTCTGTTAGAGTAGAACAAATTCAAGAGAAGAGATTTAACTTTATCATCCTACAGAGGGAGAAGGATTTCATAAGTAAGCAAAACAAACTCGATTACAAATTAAAACCAAGCATTTGATGAACACATCTTCTAAGTGCTTAGGGCTCAAAGCCTTCACAAGATGTTGTGCCATAGCATTCCCAACAGACAGCAGCATTGACAGTCATAATGCTCATTAGCAACAAAATACAATTGAATGTTCAGCACTAGATCTGTCAACCTGGTGCCAGTAGATTTCACAGAAAGCGTAAGGTTTTGAAATTTTTGAAATATAAATTCACTGAACCACTATAAATTACAGAAATACTCAAACTGGTCTTTCTACTGAGAAGGAACAAAACAGGTGCCATTCACCTTCTATAACTTCATCTTTTAATTTTTGTCATATTGTTTCATCACTCTACAGGAGCACAGGGGGAAAAGAAAACCAAAGTAATGGGCTCTAAATCAACAGCAGCTATTCTGCTATTAACCCATCACTTACACTTAGGCTCTTTGGATTTATCAGAAGAGATTATGTGCCTAAATACTTAGCACATTAACAGCACTAGACTCGATAGACAAAACACAAATCCACAGCTGCTACACATATGCTTAAGCATCAGCTGTTGAGCAAGAAAGAGAACACACTGGATTTGGACAAGAGGGCTACAAGAAAGACAATCTCAAATTCTGATCTAGAGATCTAGGTTACTAAACCTCAACTGGAACAGAATCTTTCCATAGGAAGGCTTGCTTGATCACAGTCTCCAAGCCAGCAACTCTTCTGACCAGGGTCAATATTAACAGCAAAGCACAAGATACCTGTACACCTCTCATCTATCCCTCTTTCACCCAGACAGAAGAATCACTGTGAAGCAAAGGAACGTACACAAGTAGTCAAAAACTTGAGGACAGAAACAAGCAATTTCCAATTCTTTCACTAATTATCAGAGTGACTCCGGAGAATTAGTCACTCCCCAAATAATCTGAAATCTGGGTTAAAAGATGAGATCTGAAAACTGTTGATCTTGCAGGCGTAAAGGGTTGTTCAATATTTGTAAAACATTTTAAGTTCTCAAAGGAAAATCTCTAGTTAAGGGGATGTGCAATGAAATACCAGAGTGAATCATGACTACATACTTCCTCTGTAAAATAAAGTGAGGGAAATCTGAGCACTTGAAGAGCTTGAAAAGCTTTGTACTTGTGTATTTGCATTTCAAGATACTGTCAAATGTCTATCAACAATAAATATCACCTTCTCACACTTAGGAAACTGAAAATTGATTCCACAAGGAATACTGCTGTAGGACAACATTTCATCTTCTTTACTCCATTTCATTTTGTTTGATCTTACTCACCTTTTTTTTTTCAAATACACAAAACTTAATGCTGAAACACTCTGAACATTGAAGGCTGACATAGCTAAATGAGTGGCTGCAAGATCTTTCCACTAAACATTACCTTTCCTCAACAGTTACCTAACATTAATATCCCTGTTTTAAAGCTTTATGTTATCTTCCTGTGGCAGTTTTGCATTTGTTGAAAACAACAAAAATTTTACTAGTTGCAAGTGTGCAATTCCTCTGGGCACGAGATTGAGATGGAAGGGAAATTACGGTCTGTCAAGAGCCTGCAGATGGGCATGGAGATTAATTCCGAATAAGCTGATTATAGATAAAGCACTTTAAAGCAAAATAGATTTTCCCCAAGAACTGGGACAAGGATTAACAGCCAGAGTCTAAAAGATTCCCCAAGAAACAGCTGAAAGATATTTATTAGTACTACATTTCTTAGTAAAACCCTCATCTGTATTTCTGAGCACTGCAGGCAACACAGATTGCTTACTGGTGGACTTCAGTGGTGAGGCACATGCATGTACATGCATGCAGGATGAATCCTTAAAAACAAAGTAAAAATCCAATGCTGCTTCTTTTCATCAGGAGGAAAAAAAATCAGAGAAATTTGCTCTTATTAAAAGCTGTAATATTAATTCATCCTTCCTAAGAACAATACCAACTAAATTAATTAATTGTTCTTGAAACAAAAGCAGCTGTTTGCACTTCAGAAGGTACCTGTTACAGAAGAACACAGAAATATAATGCCCTGAAACCGGCCATTTAAACTTTGATTTGTATCCTTCAGACTTTATTTGTAAAGCATTGTCACAGCAGAAATTTTATGGAAACCAGAAGTGAGCCAGCAAGTTTTAATGTCCCAAGAAATCTTTCCTAATTCCTTGGACAATTAAGTTTCCCTTATACATGAAAGAAAGTTAGGGAGTTTTAGTATCTAAGGATTATTATGCTTAATCCTGAACGCTGCACTGGGCAAATGGCTCTGCACAAATTTTGTGAAATACATTTAAAACCCCCTAGCTGGCCCTAATGTTCAATCATGAACTACTGAATCTTCTTTCCTATAGTATTGTGTGTTTCATGAGATTCACTTTATTTTTAATTTTAAAAAAAATCAGGCAACTGTAATGAGCTATAAAATGCACATTTACAGGATCACCTTTCTGCTCAAATGCTGCATGTTTTATTATTTTATTTTCCATGGTAGTGTCCCACTGGAAATAATTTTGCGGAAGGATTTGGTAGACAGTCCTGTGCGTTATCAGTAATGTTTTCATCACTGAAGAACATTGTCAAAGTGAAGTTGCTAAAAGACATACTGTAGAGGAGTCATCTAATAAAGCAAGATTATTTGCAGTACTATGTTATACAGTGATACACGAACTACCCTGCCAGGACACTGAAGCTGTGTTAGTCTGGTACTGTATCATGACAGTTTCTTAACCTAAACACAGTAAACAGGATACACTAAGCTCATAATGAACACAACTCCAGTAATTTAACTCCATCTTAAACAATCACCTCTGTAAAGCCGGCAAATCATTAATACAGGAGTATAACTAAGAAAGAGGAATTTATTATTTGGTCTTAATTCCTGTCCAGAAGACTGAAAGATTATGGGAATGACAGTTACACAAGAAAATAAACACAAGGAAATACAAGCACTCAAGTAAAGAATGCACAGAGATGAGGTATAAAATTGGGTGCTCATCCAAGAGAAAGATAAGTTAGTGAAAGATCAACTTCAGAGTTGGAGACCCAAGTTGTGAAGCATGAAGGTGCACAGATCTTATTCTCAAATAGTCACTGGGACACTGGAAGAGGATAAGTTTCAAAAAAAGGGTCTGAAAATAGAGTTCAAGGGAAAAACAGCTGCTGGCATAAGGTAGAGAGAGAATAACAGTATTGAGAGTAGAAAGAATGAAAACACAAATTTGTATCATGCAGGGTTTACTTATATCTGTGCATTTGTTTCAGAGGTATAGGAAAACTTGTTTCACAAAAAAGAAACCCAATCCAAAGAGTAAAGGGCACAGTACAGTTTTTTAACTGCATTTAAGTGATTAAAATGGAATTTGGTGGTTTTATTAATGCTCAAGCACTGTGTTGTCATTATGTAGTAAGATAGATGAAAAAAGTCAACTTCTTGACTTCAGAAAAGATAGATTTCTAATTCAAACACTTCCTTTGAGGCTGAATCTCAATGACTTATTCCCCAAGTCTGTAACTTGGTGTGTCATTCAATTAATGGTAAAGAAGTTGCTCCTTCTGAGGTCTGAATTTAATATTAAGAAAACTTTGGGGCTTTCTACCTTCTCAGTCATCATTTTGTTTGTGCATTCTATCTAGAATTATGCAAATAGTCAATTAAGAACATTTTTCAAGCCAGCACTTAAAATGAAATATTTGACTTTAAAATTTGATCAACCACTTCTAAACAAGAGCAGTCTTATCTTCCTCATCTGACAATTCACATACCATGGCAACCACATCTACCTCAGGTGTTCCATCTTCTTATATGCCAAACTCCTGGTTTTGAATGCAAAGCTGTAATAACACAGGTGGGCTTTTTCCCTTTAGTTAGGAAAAGCAAACATCAGTCAAGAAGATTCACCATGTTTCAAATGAAAATGGACTAATACAATAAAACGGCAAGGAAAGACTGTTTTCTAATTTTAAAGTAGGGTAAAACATGCAAGCTGCTCAAGTTTCCCTTACATGGAAACAAGAGGAAAAAATAGTATCAGAAGAAAGTTTTAGAGGTCAAAAGAAATAGACATTTAAAAATATGACGCAAAAGTACACACCCAAGTTATGTGTTTAATTACATAATCCTCTTTAAGAAATGTTGAGGGGTAAGTGTATTCTAGCAGACAAATGTGAACTCTGTACCCACAAACCAAGTATAATCCCCCCAGTCTTCACTATTGCCCAGAAGCATGTACGAGTACAGCACTTTCCAGACACTGCCTGCAGGTTAAGCTGAAAATTCCTCTACTCTGAACAATTACATAGAGAGCAAAAAGAAGCATGTGTTTTGTCAGTGCTGGGCTCTCGGGACACAGATCAGCAGAGAACTCAGAAAAATCACTGTCTCCATTTTTGAAGTGTCTGTGCTGCTTAATGAGGGAGAACACAATTTTGGATGCCTAACATGAAACTGGCAACCGCGGAATGTAATATTAAGACTTGAGCTAGAATTTTCCATCAAATGATCAATGCAAGACCAAGTCTGAGCTGAAGATTAGTTACATGTGGGGCAATCTGAAATTCAGCTGGCAAATTTGGATGAGGGTTCAGAATGCCAATCTTGCTGCATCCCGGACAGTCTCTTCAAGCAGAATCAGTCATTTGTTTCAGTCTTTGTTTCTTTGGGGATTTCTGTTTGGTTTGGGGTTTGGGTTTTTTTACCTTTTTTATTTTTTTACCCTCACTTCTACTTACAAAACCCTTTAGAGCAGATTATCTGAATAATGGTAGTAGAAGTGTTCTAGCTAAATCCTACAATGTTAGTAAATTATAAAAATCTACGACATCAAGCTACACTTTAGCTCATCTATTTCATCACTTATTCATCTGAGCAGAAAAATTACTTAATTTTAAGCAACAGCTTCCTAAATTGGGAATAAAGCATAATGAAGAGTTACTTTTATGTGAATCAGCTTCATCTTCTCAACCCAGGTAATTGCCAGTGGCTACCTATCAACTTGCACTGTTAGGAAGTGTTTTTAAAATGCTGCAGCACAGAAAGCATTACTGAAGCCATCCCTGGCAGATGAAAGAACTGCCAGTATTTCCCAGGAAGAGCCCCATATACCTGGAGCTCCAGCTGATACTCAGTGAACCAGTTCCAATACATTAACTGCTCATGCAAAATCGCTGCATGGGAACATAAGCACTTGATGGGTAGCTTGTGGCTTTTCAAGTTTGGGAGCTTTGAACTTTTCCCATTTAGAACACATGGCACTGCCAGCCTGAGCTGGGGAGGCAGCAATACAGTGCCAGAAAAAGACGTGGAGGAGATGTTGTCCAACATACCACCTAACGAAGGAAAGTAGGCTGCTTTCTCCTCCCTGGCATACCACACACTAAGAAACTATTAAAGCTCATAAGGTGGCAGAGAATACAAATTGCAAAACCTCTCAGGTAAGAAAAAACTTTACAAATATACAAAGACATTCAGCACTATTTTCAAGAACTTTATTTCTGCCAGCTTTCCTATTTTTTCTTCTCTGACTTTCTGCTCTTTACCTGGAAGTAATTGCTTCCCCATTCCTGCTTTCCAGCATATTTTAGAATTGTCTACTGTCAAAATAAGAGCTATACCCCAAGTTTCTATCCTCTTCCATGACAGCAGTCAGCACCAGCTATAGACAGACTGGAGAAGACTAGTTTGCAGATTGCCAACAGTCCTTGGTAACACATCAGTCACCAGTTACCAGCTCCATTTGTGATCGTGCAGAAAGTACAAGCCCTGAGCAGTACTGACACCTTTGCAGAGAAGGCACACACTGGACCTAGGCTGTGAACCATGGGTGAAACTTTCCTGTTCTGTCATGCAAGGTGCTTATTTCAGCACAGTCCATACCTGCAGGAAGGACTAAAGAGAAGGACAGTCTTCCTCAGCTCTTGTAATTTTCACAATTACACCATCTGTACTGAGTATGACCTTTCAGAAAATTCAGCTGTCAAAAATTTGTAAGGCTCCCTGTCTATAACAGTTGGAATTTAATTTTATGTTAAGTGGAAGGGGAAGTTTTTTGACGTCATTTCAAATTCATTGTAATCATCAGGATTAGGAATAGCAAAATTTGTGTATAATTCTGACTCTATCATACCAAGCAACAGTAATCTACTATAACAGGATTTAAAACCAGCTTCTGTATCACAATTCAGAAATTGAACATATTCTCAAACACATATATTACTCAGTCTCCTTCCTGGAAACCCAAGTGAATCCCCTAAAACCTAATCACTGAGAAAGGTGTTCCCTTCATTTATGTGACACACCAAATGTTCTAGCCCTTTGCCTACTTGTTTCTTAAATCAAAAGGCTGTTTTTTTCCTTTTGATTAGCTAATCACCAATAAACATAATAGCAACATCATTCATCTACGAGCAGCATCAAGTTCTATAATTCATTCACTTTTTTCTCTCACACACAGGCACATTTTTCATGTCACCTCATTATTCAAGAATCTTTTTCCCAATAGGTTTCATCACTGTATCTTATTTTAAATCCCTCTTGGGAGCTTACTGCCCCTTTACAGTGTTTGAGGCACACGTGCAAGTTCTTTTTTCCCTTAAGCATCATCAGAATAATTAATGCATGATCAAACAAACAGCAGTGAAGCTGAAGTGAATATTACCAGTGAAGCTGAAGTAATATTTACATTCTTTAAACTTCTCTGAGGGGTAGTGGGGAACCCTGAAAACTGGGACATTGACTTCTGTCACCAAAGAGGAGGCACACACATTATCAACAAAGTTGGATGTTAAAGTTATACACAACCAGCACAGTAGAAAGAGATGGACAAAACTTATCATGCTGTGAACAACACTCATCACCAGAAGGAATAAGTTAAAAGCATAGTGCCATGGCTGGGGACTGAAACAGAAAAATGACTACATACTGACTTTTTTTTTTCTTTTTTGGTTGCTTGGTTGGTTGGGGTTTTTTGGGTTTTATGCCATTCAAGCTTGGCCTCAGGGCTGTAAAACTTCCACATTTAAAGGCAAAACTGAATTCAGAAAACTGACACAGTTACCATTTACTTGGAATATACTAAATTAATGTTTCTAAACCAATCTGAAAAACAACAGACAAAAATACCAACACTATAATATTTTCATACTTCCTCGAAGTTGTTCTTTTCAATCAGCTCCCATCCTCTTTGGGCCTTTAAGTTTTTCACAATTTTCTTAACTGATAATAAGTTGTTAATATTGGGTCTTCTATTCAGTCATTCCTCTCTCTGCTTTTTTGAACTAGGAAGAAAAGAAAAAATCAGGAAGTATTAAAGCTTTCTATTTTGATATGCTTTAGTCCAATGCATTAGACAAACTGCCTGGAGCCTATTCGAATTCAGCTTTTCCGGGTCTTTCCCCACAGAAGAGGGGGTTTACTGTGTTTCGTTTTCATTACACTAATAATCTTCTGAAAAACCAACATTCTACTTAGAGCTCAATCCCCTTAAGTTACATACTACTGATTTGTCATGAATCCAGAGATTCCAGCTTCCACTGCTTTATTTTTTAAGTAAGTATCTTTGTATTTAACTGAAATAAAGTGTTGGCTAAGGTAACGTACCACTGAAAATCTGAAGCTTTAACCCAACCTACCTCTCATCACCAATATACCCCTAGAATTTTCTCATAAAAAGATACAGACATTTATCAAAAAGAAATTATGTGAGAAAAGGTTACCTGTATAGATCAGTGTCATAGAAATAGATAAGGCATAAACACACCTCAGCACTGGCCAAGTATCTGTTTCGTATAACAGTGATCACACCTTGCTCATGATGAACTTTACACATAACTTTATTGTAAGTACTTATAATTATTCCCTTCTCTGCTTCATCATGCTCCTGGACTGAACTACATAGAGGGAGATTAAATATTAAGAGTCATTCTTCATTTATACACAACAATACTTAAGATGTAAAACCTTTACTGAGAAGTTCCATTGTTAATGAAAAAAGTAATTTATCAGATTTTTCACTCTTTTCTTATGGAGGTTCTAAAAGGGCAGTTAGCAAGTCATCCAAGAGTTTCAGTAGAATAAAACTGATTGGCACTTCTATGCAGAAGTCCAGTTTCACATTCCACATGCTACAAAAGAATTCTTTTTAAGGATACCACAGTTAAATAGATATGGAACATTAGAACATGCAACCAATGAGAGTCACTGGTTCTATCACCAAGAGTAATCACAAGCAGACTAAACTACTGGTTTATTGTTAGTATGATGCTACATCAAAGGACACTTGCAACTTTTGCTGACATGACCATTCTTGGGCACAACAGGGACTCTCATTGCAGAGACAATGAAAATACCTCAGCATCAGCAAAAGAGATTGGAGGAAATGCTTATCAGAAAATATAAATAACTGAGAAAAAGGCTAACACCACCATAGACAATTATTATCAGTAAGGCAAGAACACTTGCCCCAGGTAAAATGAAAGTGATGAAAAACTGTTCATCTCTTAACACTGGAAAAAGTAAGTTTATCCATACACATTCCCCCAGAGAGGAAATCCCATTATTTTAATCAGAATTTTCACCTGTATTTTCAACACAAGCACCAAAACTTGGTAGGGCTCAAAGAAAGCTTCTCTGCATACAGAGAGGGAAGAACCAGTTTTCCCAATATTTCTTATTTAAGCCAGTTATACATACAGCTAAGTTCTTGTAATGTGAAGCTGTCCTTTCTGCCTGTTGCCTGGAAAATACATTCTTTTGTCTCTGGGGAGCAACTCAAGCAACTTTCTATCACATTTCCACAAAATAAAAAAAAAAAAAATGCTGCCTTGTAGCAAATATCTTGTCTGATACATTAAGAAAAGTTTTAAACTGAAATCAAATATGTGTAAAATATACAGAAGTCGTGACAGAGCTGGCATGATTAGAAGTCACATTTAATTCTATATCCAGTTCTTCAGAAACAGTCAACTCAACCTTTTTGAGAATTTAATCTGCACTGCCAACCACTTCCTCTAAATCAGAAAATGCTTCTAACATCAGGTTACAACAGAGAGGAGCTGACAGTCTTTCCAGGAAGGCTAGGAGTTCTAAACTGAGCAAAAACATAGATATTAAGCACAGAGACAGGAAAGTCACAGTTACCTTCCTACTTCGCATTTTCTTTATAAGCAGAACTCAATGGATGGCGATCCACTTGCACCACCCATCTCTCTTTTCTGAGAACCCACACCCAATTTCAATGCTCCAAACCTCCTACAACTCAGAGTGGGAGACACAGAGCATCAGAATGGTATTGCATAATGGTAGACAATTTATTTGCACAAATTCTCCACACTCAACATTTCAACGAGGAAAAAAAATCTATTGTATATTTCTCTGCAGCCTGTACCTACATCACATCCAGTCAGATTGGCTGTTTCTTTGCAGCCAATCTCTCATCGCCACCTTCAGCGGCATTTATGAACTAGAACCTTTTAAAATCCAAAGTCTTTCTATCCAAAGGTCTCTTGAAAGGACTAATTAAAGCGTTTCAGTCACACAGTGAACAAATAGAAAAGCACACCCAAAGTTATACTTCCATAAAAGTACTGACATCTGTGCTTTCTTCTAAAAGGACATCTTTTGTATAAACTCCAGCTCACTGCACCAAGAGTGAAGGTAAAGTAACACTCTATTCCTCAACGCATTACCTTTCCCTCTGTATTGAAGCACTGTCATTTAGAGCCACTGTTCATATGCACAATCTCCCTGCCATAAGTAGTTGGCCCTACTAATGCCTACTTCTCACTACCTTGGTTAGACAGTGTCATACTTCATCATGTTCACCAACAAGAAAGTTTGACTGTTTGCGTTACCTTAAAGATGTAACTGAACCGGTCAGCAAGAATTTGAGTAGTTGTGTCCATATTATTTCTGATACAATTTAGTTTCTTTGTTTTAACACACTTCCTCTCAAAGAACTGTTGAAATACCTCCTGGTTCATATGCTTCAGATTCTTGACCATAAATCATCTCCAGAGAAGTTGTCTGCTCCTGTGTTTCAAGTAAATCCAGCAAAAACAAGGTGAATTCTGTGACCATGTATTACCTACAAAAATCAAGATATTTAACAGAGAAAAAGTGAGCACTATCTGCTGGTATAAAATTATTTTTACTACGAAGGTCTCTTTCTATATCCAGTGAAGTATATTTTACATTCCACTTTCCTTTGAGACCAAGTGCCAGTATGTCTACCAGAAAAAGCAACGCAGAAAAGGATCTCAGAGATCACCAAGTTTGGTTTTTGTTCCTTGAAAACATGGAAGAAAAAGGCACCACAAAAAGCTTAACAGCTCATAAGAAGTCGTTTGTATTCTAGTTATTTTTTCCCTGTGTACTTTAAAGTCATACTCATCAGGATAAAGAACAAAATGCGGTTCAATTTATAATGTTCCTTATAGAAGGAGCTCAACTTCAGAAAACAAAGTGAATTTGTACTAAGAAATAAGGTGAGCAGCCAAGGAATTCTTCTGAATGTAAAGTCATTTGTCAAGAGCCTTTCAGACCTTTGAGCAACCAAACAGAATACCAGGTAAAATGACTGACACTACCACCAGAAGCTGGAAAGGGGCAGCAGTGGCCTCCCCTTGCTGAGGGCTGCAGGTATTGTGAAGGTCAGGAATCGACTTTAACCAATTTTGTAGGACTACACATGATGATCCAGCAAACAGACCTAGCACTACAGACACACCACAGCAAAAGTTCAGATTGGGGCCAAAAAAATAAGATTTTCCTCACATTATAATTAACTAAATACAGTGACCAAAAAAGGAACCAAAACAAAACAAAAAACCCCCAATCCTCCACTGAACAGTATTTTATAAAAATTACAAAACCACTTTCATAACAATAGCTACTACAATGAACAACATTCATTCAGTATAATAGACTGTTTCAACAGCAATTTCCTACTGAGCCAAGTGACATGAGCTTTGTACAAATCTGCTTGTCTACAAGCAAATACCAAGAAAAGGTTTGTGCTAAATTTATGGAGGCTATTGAAATCATTCAAGTGCACAACAGAATTCTCTCACATTTTTCTGAGTAGATGGGATTCAGTACACCAGGAAACACATAGACAGAAAAATGGCACAGCAAGGTAAAAGCCAGGTTCAAACGGAACAGTCTGAAGGAGGGAGGAAAAAAATCAACCAATTTAACAGCAAACAAAAGTAGGTAATAGAGCAGAGAAAACTGCTCAGTAACAGTTTTATATCCAATATCACACTCTGTTTACAAAAATAATAGCACTAGTCACACCAGGACAGTATCTGCACATATTCCATCAGGCTGTCTTCAAGGAAAGAATCCTTTAAGTTAGGTCCTATTTCATCCCATTTGTTTTTCATACTATAAACACATTTCTCTAAAACACGAGCAACTTCATCAGTACAGGGATACAGAAGTAGTTTCCAGAAGGACAACAAACTACCATATGAAGATGGCTCAGTGGCCTATGTGCACTTGTCCCAGCCACTATCTCTAAGCATGGTAATACAAAGGGAGCAGAACAAGCTACTACACACTATCCATGAGGCAAAGGAAACTTGCTTACAGATAGATAACAACTGCTCAGCTCACACCCTAGTTTGCTTAAGGGTAATTTATGTGTATACCCCCACTCTCGGCTTTCCTCTCAAGCAATGCAGTATTGTCACTGGGAAAGCATGGAGCTTATCAACTGGTTATTTCAGTCCTACCCAGGTGAACCCAACTGTGGCTGAAGCTGTTTGAACTGGCCAACAACAACTCTCATCAGAAGGTATAAAACACAAGTCAGAAGAGATGTCTGACCACGAAGAGAGTTTGCAATACACAGGCTCAGTGAAAGGCACATTAGCTCCCAAAATTCTCCTCTGAGAGATATGGAAAAATAATTGATTCTCTGGGACAGCACAGCATGACCACTTCAGCTCTATAAAATTGCAAACAAGGTTCTCACTAATATTTGGTAAACACTTATTTCACTTTCCCTATATGGGAAAAGCTATTTTGGTCTTCCAGCTCCAAACACAAGAGAGGACCATCGGCACAGTTAAGCTAAAGCTCAATATTTAATTAACACACTTAGCAGCATTTCAGTACCCCTTCAAATATTTTCAAAACACTCTTAAAATTTCACTTCTGTACAATTATGTAGAAGATGCTTGATGTCTACCACCTAGTGGATTCACACAGTATAGCCTTTAAACACTCACACAAATATCCCAAAACCAACACAAAACAGAAAAAAACATACAAACAACACACTACAACTTTCCTCTATCTGAAGGAGCAGGACTCTCACAATGCCTCTAGTGATAAAAAAACATGAAATGCTACTTCTGCGGTATCTTTTTACAATTAGATACCAATCTGTATATCAGACCATAAAAAAAAGAGTATTAAACATTTTATTAATAGCATTGAAAAATAATTCCATTGGAAATTGAGTAATTCCATGAAAAGTTGAATGCTTCAATCTATTAATGCTGCTCCAGTCTTATACAAACTTATGTGCTGACTGCAATCTTGGTGATTATTCATAAGAATTCAGTCTCATATATGTGTGGATGAATAAATCTCTGGAATTTGTACAGACAAGCTACCCAAATACCAACAACCTTTTTCTCCTCTCCACACACATTTGCACAGTCAAAATTAAGGCAAGTAATATTTCTGATATTAAAAAGAAGAAAATAAATTATTTTTAATAGCAAAGTCCAGTAACATTTCTATTGGCAAAGTCCTCTTCAAAAGTCCTTACTGCCTCTACAGAGCCTATTTCCCTATCTACATCCTTACTTTCTGGTTTTGGGTTGTCTTATAGGGAAAGAGACTCTTGGTAGGAAAGCATATAATCAAATGACACAACACACGACCACAATTTACAGGATAACCGCATTGACTTTTTAATTGTAGGTTCTCTCATTAACAGCGGTCTTCTACCAAAAATTCTGTGCTTAGTGAAGTCTTGTTAATCACCCAACACAGTACCATAAAGGAAAAGCTGTTCCCTAAATCCAGGATCTAGATAATAACTTCCCTCTAGAAACAAAACATCTAGGAGACCAAGATCACAAGTAAATTAAGTATTACAGGAGCCAGATGTACAACTTACCTTGGAAGTGTTACCTAAAACTTCATCTGCTGCTGTCAGTCTCCAACTATAAAATGTTTAACATTGAAGAAACACCCTCCACAGATTCTCAGAGTTTCAGAATCTATACTGATCAAAGCAATCTCCTTACCTGTAACACTCTTGAGGGCCCAGACAGGGTACTTGATCCACTTCCAAAATTAATTCTTTCACTGCTGAGTACAAGTTCTGCTGCACCTCATCTTGCTTGATAATCAATTCATCTCTTTCATCCTATGCAGAAAGAAAAGCAAGTCAGCAACTCTCACCCAAAGAATGTAGAAAGTGATACAAAAAAAGCATTAATCCTTGCGAAGTATGAGTAACACAATACATGCCTGACTAGGAATGAGTGCAAAAGCTAATTTTTTTAACCTCCACTCCTATGGCATGAGTACCTTGCACAAATACAGCACCCTTCACAGTGTAAAGATATGACTACATGATCAGAAAACTAAAGAAACAGTTTCTGCATGACTGTTGGTAACAGTGGGAATCTTAACTGCCACTGAAAATTTAAAATGTCCTGGTTGTCCTGTAGTTTTTGATTGCATTACAGAAATTAGAATTTGTATTATCCACACTTTCATACATCCAAAATTACGTCCACAAATTCAGACTGCAAAAGTTTTCTTACTGGAAAAGAATGCTCTGGAATAAAAAATCCTTGTCTTCTAGTAGGAAAAGCAAGTGAACTGTGAATTTCCTACTGATTATCTGCAGAAAAATTATTAAACTAAACATAATTTTCTGGAAACAAAACAAAACAAAGCTTTCCTTGAATGACTGGCAGGATTAGTTCTACTAATAGGAGAGGAACCCCATATTCATAACAGACAAGGTACCTATCAGACTTACCAAAACCAAACCTTTTGAAATGGATGAAAGAAGTTAAAAATCCATACTTGGAAGCATGCTTGCAATGTTCTTTTCGGGGTGATTTAACTCAACATGCTCATAGATATATGAAAACACATATGAACATGGAAGATCAAGCTGCAGCTTTATGGAGCTGCTGTAAAGATTTGCTACTTCCTTCTACATCCATCTCCAAAAATAAAAAAAAGTAAAATGATTGAAGTAGCTATAACATGGTGTCCTGATATGTGTTCCCTTCCCTATCACACACACACATGCCACTTCAAAACCTTGGAAAGTCTGGTGTGGAGGGCAATTATTAGTGAGGAAACAGAAAACAACAGAAGAGTTAACCATAGCACTAATACCATAGAGCCAAAGAACAGTCAAATGAACACCTCCTGCTAACAAGAAATAAATAATATAAATGTATCTGTAATATCAATATGTAAACGCAAACACAGGTTCAAATGTGGTCTTCAATTTAGTTTAGTGAAATCTTAGAAAAGGACTTAATCAGCAATTTTTAAGTATCCATCATAGACTAGAAATCTTTTACCAGTAACAGACAAGGGCAGAATGAGATCCAGTGGTTGGAAATTGAAAGATGGACAAGCTCCAACTGAAAATAAAACCCCAAGTTGTAGCACACACTGCTTTATAAACAGATTAGCAATTGAACAGTTGCTGTAATTCAGCCACACATTAATAGCCTGGATAATAAAAATCAGTAGATTAAGTTGTACTACAGAAGGTGAACAGAATGTATTGCTTTAGCACTTAAAAACATGAAACAACAACAATAGAAAAGATTTTAATAGGCCCTCCTGCACTTTTGGCCATCACTGGAGACTTCCTGCTGTTTTTCCTGCATAAGGCAAGAGCTAGTTGGTAAACCAATTCTGTAACATGCTGCATAACAAATAATAAGGACCCCTCATCATAAAGAACACTTCCCAATACTTCTACAGAATGTTACTTCAAAAACTAGAGCAATAGACACTTAATGTAGCAGAAGATTCAACCAGGCAACCAAACTCCAGCTAATACCAGTTAAAGCACTAGAGAAAATTTAACAGTCTACACATGACTAAATGACTATCAAGGAGCTCAACAGATGGCTCAGGAGCCACAGGACAAATCTCCTTCCAACCTGTGTACATGGGACACTTCATGGCTCAGCTAATGCCCATTAGATAACTTCACAGAACATTAAGTACACAAGCAGTATTTTAATAGTCTGCTTTACAAAGATGCAAGCTCTTCACAGTAGTAAACATTACAATTAAATTCCTTTAAAACAGACTAAATGCTTCTCAAATTACAAAATTTAGTTCATTAAAAGAAACCCACAACAACAAAACCCACAACACAAACAACTGCACAAACAACACCACACAACCAACCACTAGACTTGGTAATATCACTTCCAATCTGGCTCACCATCTTGTTTCTCATAACTAGCGATGCTAATGAAAGCCCACAACAGCAGTTTTTGGCTCCCATTAGTGCAAGTTACTACTTTGCAGTATATGGAATAGCTAAAGATAGGTCTGGCATCAACATCCATCCTTAAATTGTTCACATTATCCCAGCAACCCCCACTTTTTTTTTTTTTAATGAGCAACTGAATAGTTCCCTTTTTTTAAACATTAGCATGATTATTTTTTCTTCTTTCCCACCAAGAAAAAAAAAAAGCTGAATATGTACACTACAGTCTCCAATAAGTTTCAAAACTGAAATCACAAATAAGCGACACATCCATATAACACTAACTACAGTGTCTGAGAAGTCAGCATGTATGTTACACCCTATCACTATGAGTACCTACTTACACTGCAGTCAGGGAAACTTCTAATTACCCCTGTTTTTTCATCTGTAAAGCTGCCATCCTTTCAGTAATACTTCTGTAGGAGAGCTGGTAAAGTAATCATCACCACTACATTCCTCTTGGGACACAGAATTTACATAAAATTCTATTATTAGTTTTGAATGTATTTTAAGCATTTCCATAAATACCTTATAAAAAAAAAATGTTCCAGTCCCCATCTTCATTTCTGGGACAATATCTAGGAGAGATACAGTTAAACCACCATAAACCAACTAAGAAAACACAGACAATGAAAACTGAAATAATGCCACTTACTCTGCACTCAAACTTTTATTGGGTGTACTCACACCTGGGATAGTTGTTTGAGATGCATTACATTTCCTCAAGCCAAGATAAGACGTTCACTTCCAAGAGCTTAAAAATAATGAGCCTTGTGACAGTGAGAGAGGGCACCAGCGCTTCAGGGAGGTTAAAGGAAGAGCACATTGCTTAGGCAACTGAACAGCAAGATATAACTTAGTAAAGCCAATTTTGACAGCTAGGTTGACAGACTGAGCAGAATTAAACACTCTGGTTTAGTTTAATAGCCAACTATTTCATCCATCTGTTCGGGTTCACTGGACTTCCTGTTCGGGTTCACTGGACTTCCTGTACACTGGATTTACATGTACTTCATTTTAACTGAGCAGGAAACGAAGTTAGTGACATCATCACACTTGGTTGCACTATCAAAAATGTCTGCTAGCCAACCTGCAGTCAGTATAATTTAAGCGGGTATGACAGGCAGATTAACAAGTACATAATTTACTGTGTGCATCTTGGACATTTCCTGTATTTGAAAATATAGTAGTCAAGATTCTGTGGCATGGTACAGCACAGAAAAGAGATTCTTAAAAAACAAAATTACTCTCAGCAAAATAAAAAGTTAAGTCACTACACTGCGCATTGTAGGGACAGGCAGGGCAGGAGAGGTAGAGGGGTGGCACTGTATGTAATAGGGCTTAGAATGTATGGAGCTCACAGTTGGCACTGGCACAGTTGAGACCCTCTGGGTAAGAATCAAGGGGCAAAGAAATAACATGGATGTCATCGTGGAAGTCTGCTATAGACCTCCCAGCCAGGATAGTGGTGCTGATGAATTATTCTTTGAGGACCTAGAAACTTCCAGGTTCTTATGGGGGATTTCAATATGCCAGAAATTAACTGAGAGCATCACACAGCTGGTACAGCCCAGGCCAGAAGATTCCTAAAAACCTGGATGACAACTTTATGGAACAGGTTATAAGGCAGCCAGCTGGGAAAGACGCTTTCCTTGATCTGCTGCTTGTCAACAGAGTGGATCTCATGAGAGAAGTGGAGATTGGTGCCCATTTTGGCCACAGCAACCACAAAGACATCAAATTTAAAATCTCTGTTGACAGGAGGAAAAGTGCCAGCAAAACCTCAACACTGGACACGAAGAGAGCAGACTTCAGGCTGCTCAGGGAATTACTAAGTAAGGTCCCCTGGGAAAATGTTTTTGCAGGTGCCAGTGCCCATCAGTGCTGGTCACTTTTCAAACATGAACTCCTAAGGGCAGGCAATTCCCAAATGTCAGAAATCAAGCAGGCAAGACAGAAGGCTGGCTTGGCTGAACAAGGGTCTTCTCTTGGAAATAAGGCAAAAAGGAAGATGTATACCCAGTGGAAGCAAGGTCAAGTGACATGGGAAGAGTTCAGAGATGCTGCTTGCCGCCGTAGGGAGAAAATTTGTGTGGCCAAAGCTCAGCTGGAGTTGAAGCTGCCAGAAATGTGGGGGAAAATAAAAAAGGTTTTTTCAAATACATTAATGGCAATAGTTGTCTTTTGTCTTTCCTCTAATGAGAAAAGACAACGCAGAAAAAATCGTGTCTTGACGATACCATCTAAAGGGTCTTTCCACTGTGCCTTTTGCAACCAGACTTGTCTATCTCACACTGGTCTCTTTAGCCACCAGCGTGCTTGTAGCAAATGTGGGTAGAGCCCTTCCCAAATTTTTGTTTGCAAAGCCCAGCCATGAATGGCAATAGGCAGTATAGAAATATCATCAGCCCATTACAGGATGAGGATGGTCACCTCACAAACAAGGACAGACAAAGGCAGAGGTGTTTAACACATTCTTTGCCTGTCTTCAACACAGATGATGGACCAAGGGTGTCTCAGTGGAGAGACTGAGAGGACCATGACTGTGAGAATTATCAACTCCCAGTCAAACCTGAGATTTTGTGGGATCTGCTGCTCCAGCTGGATCCCTACAAGTCTATGAGGCCTGATGGGATTCATCCAAGAATCCTCAAAGAGCTGGCTGATGTCATTGCAAAACCTCTCTTGATGATTTTTGAGTGGTCTTGGGAATCTGGAGAGGTCCCAGATGACAAGAAGTTGGCAAATGTCCCAATTTTCAAGAAGGACAAGAAGGAGGACGTCAGAAACTACAGGCCTGTCAGTCTCAATTCAAGCTATGGAGAAGATTATTCTGGGAGCTATTGAAAAACACCTGAAAGACAACAGAGTCATCGGTCACAGCCAGCACAGCTTCATGAGAGAAAAGTCCTGCTTATCAAATCTGATTTCCTTTTATGACAAGGTAACCCACCTAGTTGATCAGGGGAAGCCAGTTGATGTAATCTTTTTGGATTTCAGTAAAGCTTTTGATACTGCTTCTCACAGGATCCTTCTGGACAAACTGTCCAGCACACAGCTGGATAAACACATAATGGGCTGGGTGAACAACTGGCTCATGGGTCGAGCACAGAGGGTAATAGTGAATGGGGTCTGGCAACAGGACCAGCAGCCTGTCACTAGTGGGGTTCCACAGGACTCCATCTTGGGCCCTGTGCTCTTTAACGTTTTCATGAATGACTTGGAAGAAGAATTGGAAAGAATACTGAGCAAGTTTGCAGATGGCACAAAACTGGGGGGAGCTGTTGACTCCCTCAAATGCAGAGAGGCCCTGCAGAGAGACCTCAACAAATTAGAGGACTGGGCAATCTCCAATCAGGTGAAGTTCAGCAAGGGAAAGTGCCGGATTCTGCACCTGGGATGGGTCAACCCCAGATGTACAGACAGACTGGGAAATTAGATGCTGGAAAGCAGTGCTATGGAAAGGGACCTGAGAGTCCTGGTCAACAGCAAGTTGACTATGAGTCAGCAGTGCCCTGTCCGGGGGGGCATCAGGCAAAGCATCACCAGCTGGTCAAGGAAAGGGATTGTCCCGCTCTGCTCTGCACTGGAGTGGCCTCACCTTGAATATTGTAGCAGGTTTTTTCAATGCAATATAAGAAAGATATTCAGTTCTTAAAGAGTGTCCAAAGGAGGGCAATGAAGATGGTGAAGGGCCTTGAGGAGGAGCCGTATGAGGAACAGCTGAGGGCACTTGGTCTGTTCAGCCTGGCAAAGAGGACACCCAGGGGAAACCCCATTGCAGTCTACAACTTCTTTGTGAGGGGAAGAGGAGAGACAGGCACTGATCTCTCTTCTGTGGTGAGCAGTGACAGGATCTGAGGGAATGGCCTGATGTTGTGTCAGAGGAGTTTAGGTTGGATATTAGAAAAAGGTTCTTCATCCAGAGGGTGGTTGGGCACTGGAACAGGCTCCCCAGGGAAGTGGTCACAGCACCAAGCGTGACAGAGTTCAAGAAGCATTTGGCTGATACTGTCAGGCACATGGTGTGACTCTTGGGGATGGTCCTGTGCAGGGCTGAGGGTTGGAATCGATGATCCTTTTGGGTGCCTTCCAACTCAGCATATTCTGTGATTCTGTAATTTGTGTGGCACTGCACGACTAGCATGATGCCAATAAAACTCTTGTTCTATATCCTTTGTTTGCCAAAGACTTCAAAATACTTAAAACAAACTCCACAAGACCCTTAAGATGTCCTGCTTCCAGCTGCTACCTAGTTATCTTGAAAACTACATTAATTCTTCAGGGAGCTCTACACTTCCAAACACATTCCCACTTGCATACCCCTTGCAGCACTTGGGCACTCTGGGGGATACTTGACATCCTGCAGAATTCCTGTCTTCTTTAATTTTCCCGATTTAAAATATTTGTGACACTGCTATGACAACTTCCCCACTTCAGATAGCAGGATTTTTTTTTTACAACAGCATGTTCTTGGAAAGTTATGATTTCATGCCACCATTCCTTTGCACCTTATCTTAGGCAATCAGGAATAATGTCAGAATGGGTGGGGCAGCCCGGAGGGGTGTGGAGGGGGTTGGTTTCTGAACAAAAACAGTTTTTAAGCCACACATGAGGCCACATTGATCACACAAGAGGGCTACACAAATACTTGTGGAGCTATCAGAAGCAGCAAAGTGCTGTAAGCTCCTTTCAGCAGTATTTTGAGTATTTTGGCAGTGTAGCACACTACAACTCATCATGCAGACATGACTTCATTGTTAGTCATTTCACAATTGAAATGGGTGACAATGTCCAGATCATCTAACATATTCCAAAAAATTAGTCCATCACTCAAATAGTCTTCAAGAATGAAACACTTTTTCATCATGTTTGTCATGGAAGAATGCTGCTTGCTGGAGTTGGCAATGCAAAACCAAAACAAAACCACAAGCCCAAAATACACACACAGTGTCACCAGAATGGCACCAAAGAAACCATCTCCTCTATTAAATAAATACCTTTGAGACTATTTAGTCACACTACAGAATCTGCATCCATCCTAACTTTGGTCCACATTAACAGTTTTCTTTTCCTCAATCTCCAGCTCAACTGAGTCAAAGCAAAACTGTCCAGTGGGGTGAAAACGATTTCTAAGATGGCTTTGCTTTACTTATGGGCTGTTGTTCAATCGAACTTATGAAGTCCACTGAGCTCAATCATCCTGTAAGGTAAATATATGTAGGTATTCTTCCCAAGAATGACAAGACAGTGAAAGGATTAAAAAAAAAAAAGGTTTATTTCAGATGCAAGGATCACTTTTTTAAGATCCTGCGCACATCAGGCCCCAGGGGCAAAAGGCAAAGCCCCTCCTCCTCCAAGGCTTTTTCTATCTTCTCTCTCTTTCCCCCCACTCTCTCTCTGGCCCAAGGAAGCCTTATACGTGTCTACAACATGTTATCTCTCTGCATACCAAAGAGCAAGGCTGAGAAGTTCTCTTGTTATGCGAGGGGAGGAGGGGGAGCATTGAAACTGCATTTGAGAAAGAGGCACCACCTTAGGCAGAAAGCCGTCCTAGTGAAACGAGTTCTAACTTCCCATTACAAATTCTTCCGGAAATGTATCTATTCCTACAGTCCCATGTAATCTCCAGAAAACTACAACTGCTACTATCTCACATGGAATCATTACACGAGGAATTTGTACAAGGAAAGCTTGTGCAAGTGAATCCCTAAGCAGCCCTGCCTCCGGGGTAACTCACAACCTAGCTATTCTTCTACACACTACTCCCCTATATAGGATGCAACATTAAAATTTCATCTGCTTATTAACTCTTATCTCAATGTGGTCAAGTTTAAACGTTTGACCTGGGTTTTAGTAAACAAAGGAATTTCTTTTCACCAACAGGAATCAAATGTATGCCATGCTCTAGATGTTTTCCATGCACAAGCAACAAAAACAGAACTTACTTGGGTTCTCCTCATGGCTCAGTGTTTTCTATTCCACTTCACAAGCTGTTAAATTCAGTATAACACAACAAAGCTTCTTAAGCAAACACGTTTAAAATGGTTTAAGTTGTACCTGAAAATAGCCACAACACATTTTCCTAGATGCACAACTACCATCCCTTGCCTGCCTTACCACAAATCCTGCCACAGACCGAGGACACTTCCCGTTCCCAAAAGCAGCACATACCCATCCTTGGCAACACAGCCAAGTCCGCACACCCACGTAGGCTCCTTCAGATCTGCGGCTCCAGAGAAGTTGCACTAGATGGCAGCTTTCCCCTGTACAAGTCCATCTTCCTTTAGCACCGCATTTCCACACCGCTCTCCCTGTGCTCTCCCTAGGAGGGAAGCACACACTGCACTCAGGCAATGCAGTTGCAGAGCCGAAGTGCTTTCTATTACAGCATAGAACCCTTTAAGCTACCATGTTCTGATTTTCTTATATTTCTTTGTAAAATCAAGGGTGTCGAAAAGTGTAGGTTTAGCGCACACATACAAAAAAACCCCAAAAACTGCCACAAATACATCGGTTGTGGCAAAGGTAGCAAAGCCTTCAATGTTGTCTAGCAAAGGAGGAATGTTTCTGTGCTGTGCTCATGCTGTCCAGCTACACTTACAAAACTAAAATACTCTGTCAATACCTGTCAAATTATAGCTTCTGAGAAAAAAATTTCAACCTACCACATTTCTGCATAATTGAATCTTCTTTTAAGCCAAGCCATATTCTGTCCAAATCCTCTGCAGCTTTTCCAAGGAACACAGAATAGTGAGAGAAACATCTGTAACCACTTTTATGGCTTGTGAGAGCTGCTTCCCAAAATGACTATTCTTTTTTATGTGCCTAAGTTATAAGGAAGAAACAACATTTTATGAGAAGTTTTTCTTCACAACTCAGGCAGTTTAAAAATTAACACTATTCAGACCTCTTGATTTTGAGATAGCACCTGCCATGTTAATAACTTAAGTTCTTTCAAAAAGTAACAGCAGCAATTTTTCTCATTCAGCTGTTATTTTTTTTTTAAGTGAGGAAGGATCAAGAATACATTCATGATACCTCAGTATTGACAAGACTGTACATGGAAATTCCCTCCTGCTCTTAATTTTTCTTTTGTTCTATTTCCTCCCTTGGTATTTTTTTTTTTAACTTGTCTTCCACAAACACATGTAGCAATTTACACATTCCTTCTTAAGGAGATGGTGGTCACTTCTATTTCAAGTCTTCTTCCCACTGCACTTTTGTCTCTTCTTTAAAAGTAGAAGGGTAATTTGGGCTACCCAAAGACATACACCTCTCCCAGCAATAGAAATACCCAAGGAACTCTGACTACCCAGTTACTTCTAACAATTTACTAATTAGCATCTTCCTTGAAGATGGAATTGAAAACTCTTCTTGCTACAGTGATGGTAAAAGGACAGAAGTGAACCAAAGTTATCTGATAAACACTGAGAAAAAGATCATGCAAATTGAAGTGTTAGCTCCTAAAACACCCTGGTTTCAGCCATGCCTTTGGGAAATACTCCTCACTGCATTTTTCTTAGAAAATTAAGAAAACAAAACTTTTGGGAAACAAAAAAGCATGCATGGCTTCAAGGGATAAGCAAGGCAATGATTAATATTATTTTAGAAAAAAAAATACCTAACTTTTTTCAGTGCCTTCACCCCAACAGCCAAACTTCTTGTTTTCATTCCAATGTAAGTGCGTTGTTCAAAGCTTTCAGTTTTCTTAGATGATTCCTTCTCTATGAATTATTTATTATTTTTGGAGCAGTGTTTCAACAATGTCAGGGAAAGAGAGATCAAAAGTCACAACAGTCAGCCAAGGCTGACTAACATGCAGACCACAATTTAGACTTTTGAAAACTAGAGATAAACACACACAGAGCTGACCCTCCTCAAAACACTAATAAAATGCCTAGAAAAACATATGAACCAATGAGAATAATTTTATTATTAGCTTTGTAGGGCTTAATAGTTAATTTTTTTCCTCTCATTTCAGTAGTAGATTTCTTCAATTACTCCACATTTACTAGCAAGTCTTCAGACAACATGGAATTTTTTTCTTCCCCTGTTGAAAAATTCCTACCCGTTAATTCAGGGAAATCAAGTGCAGGGTCCCATTAAACTCCTCACTCCCATCACAGCCACACCTCTAAATAGTGCAGCAAACCTCTCATTTTACCTACAACCGGCCTGACCTTCCTATGAGGAGTATCCTTAAGAAAAAATAAGGAATACTCTTGACCCAAAAAAAAGCCCAAGCACCACATCAGGCTATATTCCTCCAGGGGCAACCTAAATATGAAAACTCCTGCTCTGATTCCACAGAGATGTTTTTATAAACTCCACTTCAGGTAATGAAACACAGACTGTAAATGTTTTTAGCCTTTCAGACTCATTTACATGATATTAAAAAAACAAACAGAAATGTCAACAAATGAACAAAACAAAAACATATAGAGATATAAATAGGTTTCTATTGGCAGATATGCATCCAAACTCTTATGATGGCAGGGTGTTTTTTGAAGTACCCCTCAAAGCCACCACCACACAACACCCTTCTCAAATAAATCGTTGCCTACCATAGTGTTTTTAGCAGGGAGGAAATATTTTCTTACTTAAAAGAATATCCATAATCTTTTCTTTTAAAATAGTTTACTTGCAATCAACACAAAACAGAAATTAAAATTTGTAGAAAACAGAGTGTTTTTTAAAAATCATCAGACTATATAAATGAAATGCTTCTAAGATTTTCTTGCATTTAAATGTTTTTTCTTAGCTGCAGTCATGTATTCTGTTGCTTATTAATTTAGTTTGAATAGAAACAAATATCATATCTTCAGTGGATGCAGAATCTGTGCAATGACAAGTTAGTTTATGTAGAAAATAGATGTTCTAGGAAAAGTTAACCAAGTAGCAAAGCTAGTTATGACTAGTTTTAGTCTGCAAGGAAAAGAAACAGCTGTGTGCAAATTTGGGTTTTGGGGATGTCGAAAGGATTTACAAAAATGGCAGATTTGCCATTTATATCTGTAGGGATAAGAGTTTGCACAACATTTTTCAAATTCACACATACATAACATCTTTTCACACAATCTTTTTATACTTCTGCTGTTTATCACACTTAAAACCATTCACAGACTTTTTAAGCCTATCAGTAACTATTACTAAGTACTGTGCTTCCCTTATAATGCTACGAATCTCCCATGGAAAGAAACATAAGCGTCCTTTCTATTAAGCAGCAGTTAAGGAAAGACTCATTTTTATGGAGTTCTAAAATTTCACAGCTGCTATGATTCTGTGATGCTTACAGATTTTCAGCCCCACACACAGAAAACTGTTTTGCCCTCTAAGTGAGGAAAAAAACAAAAAAAAAAAAGAAAGGCAAAAATCACACCCTTACTCACAAAGCACGTTTTGAATCACCAAGTGGTTAACCTGAACACCTTCATACAAACCAGAAGTTGCATCGAGTATGGTGGCAAGTCAGCACATACACCAAGGGGAGCTCAGGTCCAACTTGGACTGAAAAACCTGTGCAAACATATATTGACAGCATCTCCCTGCACCAGGGCAAGACAAGTCTTCACTCAACCAGTTTAATCCTTCTCTATTCCAAAGAACAGTTCAGAGCTGAACTGCAGAATGATGAAACCATAAGACAGAATTATTGCCAGAAACACTCGCAGTGAGAAGTATCCACTTTGCACTGCCGTATTCCTGAAGTTCACATTTCGGCTCTTGAACCTTCAGTTCTAATTTGTTCTGCTTCTGCAAGAGATTTATATTCTTCCTTCTGAGAACTTGTTTCTCTTCAGACAGCTTCTGATCTGATCTTATTTGTCCCAAGCTGGTGTCTGGCAGTCAGGTAGAAACTAGAATATTTTCCTTTTAAAAATTAATTAAGAGGAATTAATTTTTAAAAAATCACATAATTTGCAGACAACCCTTTGTATGTTTTCCCCATCACTAACTGAAAAGTCTTTTCCATCCAAAAACCATATTATAATACACTTACATCTTACAATGCACACTTACGCTACAAACCCACAAAAGTCAAAGTCCATTGTAACTCAAATCTCCTACCCAATAAATAAGCCAAAGCACTTTAGAGTTAATGTTGGGATCTATACCCTAAAAGTTGTTTCTGTAACAAAGACGAGTGATGTAAAGCCATCTGTCTCTGAGTACTGTGACAATACTGTACACTACCAAAGCTCCGCTAGATCCCACATCAACTCCATCCTCACCTGCACGGCTTTGATTACATCCCAGCTTGTTTCCTTCTCAGGCATACCACTCCAAAAATGCCTGTGATGTGCAAAATATACAGAAAGGGAATAGAGAATCTCCTGGCTGCCTCCTGCTCAGGCCAGTCAGGACAACTTTATACACAAAAGTGCCTCAACACTGTGTGCCAAAAAGAAAAAAGCCCTCTTCCTTATTTAGAATCAGATTCACAGCATACCTGTAGCTCAAAACACAGGGCAGATCAGGGTATCAATATAATTCAGGATGAGGCACTTTACTATAAAGTTGGAATATTTTGAAGAACACCTCATTTCATATTACTATATATGTTAACAGCATAGACCTGCCTAAATGATCTAACTGTAAAACAGACTTTGATACTGTGCTGGTATGTGGGAGGGCATGCCCTCAGATGATTCTTTAAAATGTTCAAGAAGCTCAAATTATGGAACACTGGCAAATTCTAAATAAGTTTTTTGATAGAACCTTATATTTCTTACACCATCTCAACTTTCTGAATGCCAAGTGACATTTTTCCCACCCACAAACGTTTTCCTCAGCAGCCCGTTGCCATGGCAATCCTAGCAACTGCAGGACAAGTCTCTTTAAAAAGATTTCTGACAACAACTGTATCTGCCAACTTACCACCACCTCTTGTCAATGTAATTACAAGTTGCAGACAAACCGTTATCCCCTAAAGCTTACTTCAAACTGTGATTGCTGACTTTATTTCTTATAAGCACACATTCTTACATTCCCACACAAATAAATCACCGTAATATGTCTGTCCTGCTGGGTAAGTGTACTTTTACAATCCATATTTTTGTCCAGTGAGTTCTAAATAGAGATAAATAGGAGGGGATAGCTACAAAAAAGCTCAAGAACAAGCCTATGGAAATTACACAAATGCTAAAACAAGCAGCACTGCATTGGCTATCACTGCAAAATCTGCTTAAAGGCCCAATATCCTGCAACCTTTACTTTCAGCTAAGCTTTCTAGTATCTTCTCCTTGGCTTACAAGCTGCTATCCCTTCCTTATTTTCAAAATCTTGCATTAAGATACATAGGAACTGTCTCTCAAAATCAAACGAGGAAGAGCAAGCTCTCCAAGCAGCAAGACTACTAATGCATAGTTTTCTATGGATTAATGTTCTAATTCCAACTATGACAGCATGCACACATAATCACATGTAATTCCTTTCCATCGAGTACCAGTACTACCTGATGCTGGAAAGAGAATTTAAATTTGTATTTTAGGCAACCACTTCCATCTTCTGATATACCACCATCACAGCAACTGGGCTAATCAGATCACTCACACCAGGTGCCCTGTGACATTCCACTGGCTTGCTTTGGGCCAAATGTATGGTTTCCAGTAAAATTCTGATTCCCTGAGCTGGCAGCTACTCAGTCAGAGCATTCTCTTGGGGTGCTGTACAGTGTTTGATCAGACCTGTTTACCCACTGTAGAACTGAAACTTTTACCTTCCAATGTTAGTTTTGTGTGACAGCTACTTTTCTTTTCCTCATCCTTAGTGTTTCCTGAAGATGTGTATTTTTAATAAACCCTGCCTTGACCACCTCTTCTCCAATATCTATCTTTTTGTATTCTGCCTGGGCAACAATGGCACCATCTTTATGCTTGGCTTTGTGATGTATTTTTATTTCTTTTTCAAAAGCTAGGCTGCTCAAAAACTTCTTCCCCTCTAAAATAAAGATATGATGAAGTTGCGTACTGGACACTCAGAAAACTTTAAGCTGAAATCCACCATCTCTCTTCTGAGAAAAAGATTGCATCTTTGAAACCAAAACCCAAATAGCTGCACAGGTAAATCTTATGTTTAACACATTTGTTCTGAAACAACGCTACTACATGTATAACTACAACTGTGCCTGACCTAATCACTGTCAACATCAGACTGGACTTCAATACCAACAGCTCTCCCTCAATGTTCAGCCTTGAAGAATTCAGTATCATAACTGACAGAAGTCCAAAGTCCCATCGACTCTCAATAGAAGTTGGCAAGTGGGTTATCCAAGTCTTTTTGAAATCTACTTTACTCAAACTATTCATGCAGAAATTGGGAAATGCCAGAATTGGCAGACACCAGTTTCACCAAACAGTTTTGAAAGACTGGGGAATATATTCAAGATCTTTGCAAGACATCTGCAAGAAAGTTATCTTTTATTGACAGGGTTTTCTTCTTATTTCCCCACCACTTCTGAAAACAATCTGGTTTTGTTAAAAATTAGGGATGGAAGTTGTAGGGTCAGGAAAGCTACACAGAACAAGCAAATAAAGCTTTAGCTCGAGGAGTAGGAACTATTATTAAAAAAAAAAAAAGAAAAAAAAAGAAAAACATAAAACCTCAGGGAATTGACAACAGAGATTTTTATCTATCTTTGAAATCACATTTAGTAATGTCAATAGGACCATGGGGATGAGCCCACAAGGGCTCTTCGGATCTCTTCTATATGATAGACGAGGTAAGCTGGACAGATGCTTCTTGCTTCCTCCTCCTCCCGCAACATGAGACCACCTCCCTCCCAGAAAATGAGACCACCACTGGTAAAACTTAGCAGTCCTGTTGCCATCACTTCCTGAGACTTTTATGTTCAGTGCTGGCCAGGAACAACAGCGTTCATACTGCCACCTGCTATTCTTTCTCTTGACCAAAAGTTTGCATAGTACCCAGGCATTCAAGCAGTTCATGGATATAAGTGAATTTATCACAGGTTCCGTGACCAAGGGAGGTATGTTTTTCCTCTGAAGGGAAAGAAACAGAGGTACTTTGTTTCTGTAGTGCCAGAAAGAACTTGGGTCAGACAGAAATAGACTTGAGGCTCTGAAGATGACAAAAGCGCACTCTAAAAATCACCTCCCCAGCACAATCTGAACCATTTTTGACAAAACCATTTAATTTCTAGAGTAGGTTCACAGCAACAGATTAGACGGTCCTTCCCAGCATGCCCTTTCTTCACAGTTAAACAGAGGATTCCTCCCAGGAACACTGTGTGGGTATTTGGCAGCATCTGCTTCAGGTCAAGTAATCCAAATTATATAAAATCTGTTACACATGTTTAAGTTCTGATCAGCTGGTCTGTGCAGTGCCCAGAGTCTGTACTTCTTATCAACACTGCAAACATTGCAAGTTTGGTGGAATTTTAACTGTGTTTGGTCTATTCAGAATTTAAGATTTTCCACAGTCAACGTACAACACCTGACACTGCATAATAAGATAAAATATAAATCAGCAGAGGTTATTCAAACCTCCTACAGAAATGTGCACTGACAACTACTAAAATATAAGCACGCTGAAGAGATAAGAATCTTCTATACTAAGCCCAGATACACTTCAGAAGAAGGAACTGAGAGAAATCTCTTGCGCTGGTACCTGTCTAAAGCTTACCTGTCTAAAGCTTAGTGACAAAACTTTAAGTAACAAAACAGATCTCTGCTGGCAATTATTTTCTCTAAAGGCTACAATTAAGAAGCAATATAGAAGACTTTTTATGGTCAGATAGGTAATCTAATGTTTCCATGCCAAACAGCCTGTCTAGAAATGATAATTTTAAATAGGAACTATTAGCCCTCTGTATCAGTCTCCTAATGCTGATTACCAACTCTTTCAGGTCATTTCCATCAGAGCCAAAAGCTCCCTTTGGATGTTTGTCATAGAACTGCTACTAAATATGTCCTGATTATCTTCTCAAGAGTACTTTATCCAGCACATTCAACATTACAGATTTTTAAAAGATCTTTCACACTTCTTGAGATAGAGCAAAGAACCAGTTCTCTGAAAAAAGCATTACTCTCTTGTGAAAGAAAAACCCATGAAGTATACTGGACAAAGAAACACAATTCAGCATTCTGTATATTACCTTTTTACTACTTTATTATGTAGTATTTCATGAGTGTTAAAAAAAAGAACAGTGTTTCCATAATTTTACTGAAGTGTGAAGTCCAGCCAGACTTGCTCACACAAAATAAGTGTTTTCTTTAGGAGAGCCAACAGTTCTTAAAGAGAACTTAGAGAATAGAGCCCACAGCATAATCAAAGATAAAGAAAATATCTTAAACAGTGGTTGCATAGAATTAAAGCCTTTATATCCAGGTGAAAAAAAAAAACACATACAAAAACTACTCACCTTACTAAAATCAGGTTTGCCAAAAACTGCATTAGTACAAGAACAAGCTTCAGTCAGCGCACAACATATTTTCAAGAGGTCATTACATCTACTGACATTCAAAGTGTGGAGAGAGCATAAAAGTTATTAACTGTCATTTTTAATAGATACTCGATGGCTTATAACAGCCAGAAATTAAATCAAAATAGTTGCACAGCTGTTGAGACAAGTAATGCCCCACCCTAATCTTTCAGTCTTCACGATTTTAGGTGCACTTGCAAGCTTGCTCTCAATTTCTTCCAAGAATTAATGAAACAGATCTGGGCAGGTAATGTACCTCAGAGAAATAGTTTGCAATGAACAATTTTAACAGTTTAATTACCAGCTAGCTGTCTGCAGATCTTACTTACCAATCCTCACAAACGTTAGTATGGATGTGGTATCTGTTTTCTTTCACTACTTAATAAAAGGAGACAACAGCTCTGCCATACCCTTCGTTCTCTTTACATACAAGACTTGTGTTTTGGTTTGGCTGAGAGAAGAAGAGTTTTTCCACTTACAACTTAGTAGCTGAACCACTGTAAAACTAGGTCAATTCCAGTAACATGGCTTTCAGTAGACACCATTCTACTCATAACTCCAAGGAAAGGATCCAGAGCTCAGAGCTGGAAAGAAAACACTTGTGCAACCAAACATTTAGTTAACCTTAGAAGCACACTCCTAACTTCTGTACCTTACAATATTAAATAAAACACTGCAACTGAGTTGCAGAATGCCAGGGGGAGAATTAAGTATGACTATTACATATAAAAATACCTTTATTATAAAAAGCTATTCCATAAACAGAATGAGTAAAATTTGGTCCCCCTTCCCAAATTCCTATTGGGAACATGACAAAGAGCATTACCTCCACCAACTGGCTGAAAGCTACAGGGATGTTGACCACACACTGATTAGCCTGCAGACCAAACAGGAAAGGCAAGATGTGGTACTCCTTCTGGATTTTTCCCTCTCCCTGCTACATGCCCCACATCAAAGAAAACCATTAATTGTTTGGGGTTTTTTACTTTTTCTCACTCTCCCCATCCAACATCCTCCTGCCATCTACACAAAAATTGACACTTGTAGGGTAGGAGATCCACCCCCAGCAGGACTCCAACTGCCTTGTACAGTATTCCTCAGTCAATAGCAAATATTTTAGCTATCGATTTTTTTTGACCTACCAAGTATTTAAGAAAGCGTAGCTACAAACTTATTTGTCCAACATATTCTCATTCATCATGCATTCACTGGATGAAAATTCTTTTTGACATTTCAGAAAAGAATAACTGTTTAAAACTTCCCTTTAAAAGGGAATAATAATACTTGCAACTCTGAAATTGCTCACTTATACAGAAACTTGCTGAGGGGGAGGAGGTAAGATTAAACATTTCAGTTAAAATCAAACAGTTTTCTGAATTAACCTGTGCCCAAAATGTTACATCTTCTTCAACATGGCAGCCCACAACATGGAAGCATTCAAGGTCAGGTTGGATGGAGCTTTGAACAACATGGTCTAGTGGAAAGTGTCCTTGCCCATGACAGGGAACTAGATAATCTTTAAGAGCCCTTCCAACACAAACTATTCTGTAATTCTGTGATATTGAGGAAAAGAAAAAAAATAAATTTTCCTCAAGCATAGGATTATGTACTTGTTTGTTTCAAAAAACACCCCACTTTACCTTTGTCATACTCTGTGTCTCTCTCTATCTGTGACAAAGGATTCTGAAATCTGTTGATGAGTCTGATTCATCAACTGCAAAGTTAAACATTCTGATGGTGTGGTGAAGATGTGGCAGAGCTGATAAAGTGCCTAATAAAGGAACAAACAAGTGATACTATTGAGAACTTACCTAAAGCCGCTGAGCTGATGCAGCTGGCCTGGAGACATCTGACTGACAGTCAATCAGTCCCACTTTCTAATAGCAGGGTCTTCTAACATGTCCGGTTTTGCAGCGCATGTAAAGATTCCTCATTTGAGTGAGGCTGAGCAAATATTTGCTCACAGTCATTGGTATGGGTGAATAACACCAATCTCTACTTAATAATTGTCTTTGCTAGTTTTAATACAATTGCTTCAATATTGCTTCAAAATAGTGCACTGTACTATCCTAGTAGTTATAGCTTCTATACTGTGTAGTAAATAATTCCGATTATGATATTTTAGTCTAACCCTTATCGTAATAAATATTTCTTTAATATAAATATATCTGGTTTGCCATCCTTAATTCTGCGGGATAAAGTTGTGCAAAAGTTCAATTACATCTGTATGATTGTTTAGACATTAAATGTTGACCAAGTCTGGGGCTAAGGTTGGATCCAGCCCCAACTAGACTCCTCTCTGAACAGGAGTTCAGAAAGCAAGGGGTCCTTGCTGCACCTCCTGACCCAGCAGGAAGGCTTCTCAAATAAACTTTGTTTGAAGCTCCCATTCTGCCCATAACACAGCATTATGTAGGCAACATGTTATGGTTGAGCCTCGGACCTTCCCTGGGGAGCTAAATGAAGGAACCTGTGAGATTAGTGCCCTGCTGTGCCGGACAGCATGGGTACAGTGAATGCAAAACCAGTGTGAAGCAAGGAATGATTCACTCCACCAAAAGAAAAATGCTAAAGACTCCAAAGCAAGAGTAGGCTTCTAGGCAAAAGTATTATATTTAGTTACCAAAAAAACACCCAACAACAAGTACACCTGTGCAAGGTCTTCTAGACTGGAAAACATCTGTTGTTGTTTTCAATTATTTTTGTGCTAAGAAAAAATACTATCACTACCTGCACAGTTGTCTCTTTTTTCTTAGGCCACATGGCTACAAACCACTTCTAGAGAGGCTCCAGGGACATACAGCCACAAGACCACCAACTGTTTAATATGCACAACATGCTGCAAAGACACTGACAGCTTGACAAAGTAAATCTGCACGGGTGCCATTACTGGTTGTGAATTCACACATCACATTCCCTTTCGTCCCGAACCTGAGACAGACAGACATGGTTTATATTTAGCATCAGAAACACCCAGGATGGGAAGGAGCCCCTTGCCCTCCACTTAGGATCACTTACTCTTTGCCCAAGACCTATATGATTAGGCTTTAACAGGTTAGAGCACTCTTGTGTATGACAACAAAGCCTTTCCCTCATGCCTGATTCCTTGGATCAGGGTCAGAAAGAGTTAATGTGTCTAGCTGAACGACTGATAAACGCCCACCAATAAATCATACACATGAATGGTTCTTATCTGTTCTATGATATTTTGTTCAAAGTTCATGGCTGCTCTCAGGAAAACAAACCATCAACAAATACCAGTTAAAATGAGCTCTTTATTTAATGACAACTGTTAATGGCATACACACTAGCATTTGGTCTCTGCTTTTATATTATTTTTAAAAAAAATTCTTTTGTAATAGATGTATAAGGAGATTTTTCAATAGAATTTGAGGTTGCAATTTTATGCTACAAATTTTTTTTTTAGGATAAATTCAAATTTCACTTAAGACATGACATCCGAGTTCCTTTTTTGACAGCCAGCAATATTGAGATGCATTGTACCAGGTTTTTCATGTGCAGATATAAATAAAATTTCAGAAAAAAAGTATTATGTGAATACCAAGAAGCAAAAGTATGCCTCCTAGTAAGGAAACTGAGTTTCTTTTCCTTGGACATCATCAACATGAGTGAAAAGTGGTCAGAACTCCTAAGCAATATTTAAATGCAGTTGATATTTTTATGATCCAACCTGTTTTCCAACTAAAAAGTAATACCATAAAATAAATGTAATAATGTTTTCATATCATTTAAGTGGAAATATTAAATAAATTTAAGCACAGAATAAAAAACTTTTAAAATTACTTTAACAAAACCAGTTCATGATGATCAAAGTAGAGCTTAGTAGAGCTGAATTTGGTAAAGTTAACATTTAAAACTGACAAATATTTTCAACTTGTAATGTCAAAAAAGCAGAATACATTATTTCCTAAGAATTATGTTATCAGTATAAAAAGGAACGCAAAATACAAGTTTATTGTAACTATTAAAACCTCTGCCTTTAACAATATTTCTCTGTGAGAAAGCTCATCCCTGAAACACACACATACATTTCCAGAACTGCATTCCCTAGTGGGTGAGGTCATGGGGATATATCCAAAACTAGAATAAACTTCTGCTGTTAACCTTGTGATAATCTGTCTGAAAACTGAAATTTTTTTTTCTGTATTTTTAGTTACCTTTTTTTTACCAATGTTATTTATATTTGGGTTTTTTTCTTGTGATTCCATTGTGAAATCTCCATTTACTTACAAGACCAAGCAGAGGATATGTAGAACGGATTGCTTGCCAGAAGAGGGAGCTCAAATTAGTATTTTCACTTATTAGGATAAAGCAGCGTGTACCTGTGTAGAATTTAACAGTAAAGATACTTTTATAACATTAATTAGCCGCTTTGATGTATTATGCATTTAAACTAAAGTAACAGGTTAGCTTGTCTGATTGGCATCTGCAGTAATGGCTGTATAGGTCAGAATTAAGGCAAATGGCTCTCTTAAATCTTTGAATTTCAGCAACTGAGCCTTCCACTCCCATCTCATTCAGATTCCAGCTGTCTCCATCACTCACTGTACGACCCACATGCACTTCTAAGAACTCTCTTTCCCTGCCATAGCTGATATCTGAACAAAAAAGCAAGTTGCCCTGCACTAAATGCCTTCAAACTCACCTCTTTGCCAATCAAGCATATAGAGGCTTTCTCTCCAATGGGAAACAAAGCTTTGTAAGCTTCTCCCAATTCTTGCTGTAAAGTCTCAGTACACACATAACTATCTGTAAAGTCTCCAGTCCAAGAGACATCTTGAAGTATTTTTAAGGACAAACTGACTCACACCTCTCTCTTTTCAAAGGAGAATAAGTTAGCTCAGGCTCTGCTTTTACGTCCTAAGCTGCACCCTCTGCCAGTCATTCTGTACCAAGTTCTTGCTGTGCTGCTTCACAGAATTAAACCAGCACACAAAGTCACCAAATTTTATATTTTCCTGTCCGCTACCTTTAATAAAACATATACTGCCACAGCTGTGCATATGAACAAAGAATACAAAAGCACATCTCCTTAGTCTGTGTTGGATTAGACATGATGAATCTGCTGGATAAATAAGTTTGTATCAAACACAATACAGTTATTTATTTACATGTAATAAATAACAAATCCATTTACACTTGATGTTTTCAGAAGTTTAGTGTAATAGTTGTTATGGACAGTAACAGACAAGCAAAACTGGGAGAATGGTACCACCACAGAAATCTGGGATAAAGTATACAAGCAAGATCCCTTCAAGTAGCTCATAAGTGTGGAAATGGATTTACAAGAGTACAGAATGCCACATGTAAAAAATATTTATATGACGGCAAGAACAGAGCCTAGAGAAGTGTGACAGAATAATGGTATGTTTGAATTTTATGTAAAGGAGATGAAGCCAACAGAAAGGAAAAAAAATTAAAGGAAATATTAAAATGTCAATATTAACAGAACAAATCTCACCAAGTAAAAATCCATGAACAAGATGAGTTCAAAGGACTCTACAAATAAAGAAAATGTGTCACAGAAGTCTAAGAGTAAGACATAATTTTTTTGCCCTCTGACAACCTAATATTTAAATATATGGTTATTCTCTCAGACCTTAAATAACAGTTCTGCAACTCTCTAAATATGATTTTCCATTCTCAAATAAATATCTATGTAACAGTTCTGGAGATTAGAAACACATTGATTAAAGAATCAATTTTATTATAACAAGGTAATTAAAAATTAATTTTGGCAAAATAGCAAAACAACAGAATAAATAAATTAATAAACAGAAGTATGCAGGTAGGCACAGAGAAAAATAATCAATGCAATCTGAGAAGTGTGCCAAAAAATAATTATTTATTTGTTTATTTATTAATCTCATGGCTTCTTTGATGGCACTGGACTTTTCCCTCTCCGTTTAGCAGCTTTCTCCATTTTCAGCTGTAACAAGAAAAGACATCAACAATGGTTGAAGCACTAATTTGCAAGTCAGCTAACAAGGCAATATTAAATTGCTACGTCCAGCTACAAATTTACCAGAGTACCACATGCAGTGAAGAGAGCTACAGAGCATTATTAACCCAACCTAGCATTGCTTATGTTTGCACCATAGGACAAAGGAGCACTTTCATAGCTCTACTGCTCCTCCCCTATTCAAACCAGGGCTGCCTTATTTCTGATAATGGCAATCTAGGTACTTATGTATTCATCAAGGCCACTGTGCCTCATGAGTTTCTCTCTGTGTAAGGTAAAGCAGTTTTATTACAGATGTCTAACAGATACAGTTAGATGAACCAGCATGCACAAAGTCACCAAGGAATGGTGCTGAGATAGATGCTAAACCTCTGTCTCAGTGTCTCCTTGCTGACCCACAAGGTTCCTCTCATGAGATTCCTCTCATGAGATTTTTTCTGCACAGTAGGCTCT